GAAACTAAAAGCTGACAAAACTCATTTTGAAACAAAAACCACAGGCATTGAAAAGAAACTTATTCTGTCACATTGAATTGAGAATTTATTAGTAGTAGTATTATTATTAACATTACTAGTAATCAATTACAGCCTGAGTGCAAAATACGGATGGAATTAAATGATGCTTCAGTGATCTCCGAAACCATTAGTAGTGGTGGGGTTTGCAGCAGATTGACCGGTGATAGTTTCATGGAAAGCATTGACCACATAGTCCATATTGGAGGCATTGAGACCACACATATTCATTCGTCCATCTCCAGTGAGGTAAATGTGGTACTTCTCTCGCAAGTGATTGGTTTGCTCACCTAAGAAAGTCAAATTATTCATAAAGTCACACGTTAAAGTTTAAATAGCAAATTCCTCGAAATGTGACCGCCCCCCATTTGTGCATTTATGAGACTCTCAGTGTCTAGTCATATGATAAACTCTCTCTTTGAGACACGATTGTCTTCCACCTGTCGTTAAGTGTGTTTCACTCATGACAGGCACAAACTACTAAGAGGCCGAGGATGGTCTCCCTCCCTCTGGGGGGGGGCGATATGCGTGGTTTTCAGTGCATCACAGTGAAAATACGACAAATTAAATCATCATAACTGGGGTGTGCGATAGACTTACCTCCACGTGGTGCACCCTGGGCAACGTATATTCATACGGCAAAAAAATCTATAAACCGGCAGTTGACTTCTCACTTCAAACTGCCATCACCCCACTCTATGCCATATTCGACCATTTTCACAGAACTCACCTCACCTTTGTTCTACCTTTGTGTTCGTCTCTTACATCTTTGAAACACTCCTCTCTTCCCCCTCTCGACTTTTTTCAAGTTGATGCTCCTTCCCCTCTGTGAGGCCTGAAGTCAACTAAAGGGTTAATGATAACCATCAAGACGCCCGCCATTTGATATAAATAAAATCATCATAACTAAGTACCTGAACTACAAATGGCGAATCAAATGAAAGAAACTTAACCATATTTTCCATCCACACAAAAGAGGAAGAGGAGGGTTCGAAGAAAATTATCAAAGAAATTTTCCTTTAAAGAGCAACAAAAAAAAATAAAACCCTAAAGGATCAAGAAATCAACCCTAGTATATTGGAAAACACCCCTCTCATAAACGTTTCATTGAAGATGACGAAATTCTAAACGTTGAAATATTTTTTTGTTGGGCTACTCAAATAGGCTTCCATTTAGGACGTTAAAGACTACGAAGTCTGATAAAAGGAATACTTAACAATTGCATAAAGTTCAAATATGATTTAGATAAAAATAATCAAGTCCATCAATTAGTGAAAAGGGGAGATAGTAGGGGGGGGGGGAATTCTCAGCCTAATCATTCTGCTCATCGGTCAATAAAAGCCCAAGTTTATTTATATTCATAAAATGACCATGATAATGAATCGTTATCCGTAATTTGAACAATTCATTTAACACTTGGAAAGTGAAAAAGGTAAAAAACTCCTCTAAAATTGTGATATAAAGATAAAAAGCGAAATATTTGACCGAATAGATGATTCATTGAAATTACGAGTAAGCCCAGTGTATGAGAACATGCCACGTTGAGTAATCACATTGTCCCATTTCCCGGGAGTGCCAAGCGCTTTCATTTTGGCGTGGAATTGCGCCCGAGTCTTGATTATACGTTGAACCATTTCAGACAAGTTCTGTCTCCTGCGAGAGAGTGAGAGAGAGATTAAGTACCAGGAAGAGTTTCAAAAGAGAGTAGAATAAAAAGGGGAGCATACCACTCTTCATAGAGTTCCGGATCGTTTAGAACGGTATTAACGATATGGGAACCGTGATTAGCAGGATTCGACCAAACATATCTCACAAGTACAAGAAGCTGGGATTTCACTCTAGCAGTAGCTTCGGCATCCTTAGTTACAAAAACTAGGTTTCCAACACGCTCATCTAAGAAAAATAGGTGAAACTATTAGAAGTCTGGGGGAAAATAAGCGAACGTTAGAAGTGAGTAATGGAAATCACTATAAAGGCCAAAGTTCTTGGAGAACGACTGGGCTGCGAATAGTTCCAAACCATGATTCAAAAACTCTCGAATGGGCCAAGCATCTTTGTCCAAATCTCCGGAAGCAAAACCTTGGTAAGCAATGTCGAAAACCGGGAAGAGATTTCGTTCCTATACAGGGAAGAGGAACAAAGAAGCTCCTGGTAAGTTAAATGAAACGGCAAATACCCAAAACAACCCATAAAGAAATAAAAACGAACCTTAACAATGTCGAGGACTTTAAGCCATTGGTCTTCAGTGAGATCCATTCCAGTTGGGTTATGAGCACAAGCATGGAGGACTACGACACAATTCTCCTCAGCATCTTTAAGATCCGATAGCAGTCCTTCAATATCTAGACTTTGATTAACACTGTCCCAATAGCGATATTCCTTGACCGTATAACCTTCACTACTGAAAATACCCATATGGCTAGCTACAAATTTAGATAATAGAAATCGACAGACTTACGCCAACTGGGCTTTGAAATATAAGCTGTCTTGTAACCGAGGAACCGATTAAGGAATCTAGCTGCTAGAAAAACGGCTCCAGAACCACCGATTGTTTGAACACCATTAGCCTAAATTTTAGACAAAAATGTTAGACCAAATGTACCATTTTAGATAGCCAAGAAGGATGTTCATTGCCAAGTAGAAGACGAACTCCCGCATTGCAAAATGACTCTCTTCCGATTATGGGTAGGTAATCTTTGTTGAGAGAATCATCATTAGCCATTAGGATTTCCAACTTTTTAACAACAGGGATTTTGACAGCTTTATCATCAAAGTCTCGGAAGACTGAAAGAAATGAAAACACAAAAGAAGCGTACCTCCAAGCGTTAGATTCACTTTGTAAGGGAATGGATCAGTTTTACATTGATCGAAAAGAGCAGCAGCCTCAATGATAGGTGCTTGTTCGATGTTGCAAAATAATGAACCGGAAGTCATTGAAAATACTCTAAAACATAAGCAAATACAAGTCAAACAATTATTTCACTTTTAAGGACCAATTTATAGCACTTTTGAATAAAATAATATAAAACAAGAAAAATTAAGATATCGACTAAAAAGAAGATTGATACAAGTTAACCTTGAACTTCAAATAATTTTCCGATAAATAACGCTTTCCTATTGATAAAAACTATCAAGTAATTCTATATGCTAATAACCGTTGTCATATATTTATATAATAAATCAGTATTTTTTAAAATTTATTGCTTTATCGATTCAACCTTTAAATGGGATTAACATTCGATTGCAAAATATATTACAATTTTTATTAAAATTAAAAATATATTCTTCTTATATGTACATCAAATTCTTAAGACTTTTATTTTTAAAGCAGTAAAAACAATCTTTTGTATTATAATGATTTTTCGCCTGGAGCTATTGTCAAATTGCACAATCGTATGATCGGTCAGGATGGCTTCGGTTGATAAAGGCGTCCTTGAAAGATGCCTAACCGTTTATACGAAATCTGTAGATAAACTGAGAGAAAATATTAAGGTAGATAATTTAGTTTATCATCATGCTTAGGCTTTATTTTTGAACTACTATCAATTATGCTCGGAGAAATGCGAGTGCGACGGCGGAGAGTAAGTTGCTATTTTATTTGAATATTTAATTTATTTAATTTTTCATAAAATATATTTTTATTCCGTTTTCAACTCCTTCCTTCTGTTGTGGTATGTAATTACGGCTTTTTCTTCCAGCCGTCTCACTGCGAACTCACAAAATTTCAATAGATCTTTATTAGAGGCACTCAACCGTTGTGATGAGTTAGAAGTCCAACTCATGAATTTCGAATCTTGGATTGATCTTCCGATTTTAAGCACAGCTGAGAACCCAAATAATTTTGATGAGGTTTCAGGTGACGCTCAACATTTGGTCGATATTGTTCAACAGGTCCAGTCTGCACTCCTATCAGCTGTTTCTGATTCAGCTCTAAAGGATGCTCTTCCTGAACGTCGTTCAATGGAATCCTTTATGCATGATTCGTCCCACAGAGTTCAACAACCACCTCAAAGGCCCCAGATGATTCCCAAACCTCAATATCAGCCTCAACCAGAGATATCTGAGTTAGCGTCAATTCCAACTCCTCTCTTTTCTGATGATCAATCTGGAATTCCAATAAATGACGGCCCGATTCCTCTGGGAGCCCTAAATCCAACGATTCCGCTCGCCCAACAGTCCTACACACCGCCTAGACCACAACCTCAACGAATTTACAGCGATGCTCCTTCTCCATTCAGTCAGGCACATCATCTCCCATTCGGTATGAGTCGAACTGGATCTGATCCAAACTTAATATACCATCAACAATTTTTGCAGCAGCAACAACAAAAACAAATGCAACCTCAACAACAACAGGATGTTATGCAAATGCAGGGAATTCCACCTCCCCCTCAAAATCCCAATAACCCTAGTTCTTATGGCTATTAGCAATTATTTGCTTGTATATTTCCACTTTTTTGTCAATAAACTCTTTTTAGTCGATGTTTATTTTGTCATCTTATATATTCCATGACAAGTTTTCTTGCTACGTGCATTTCTTATTAAGTTGTGTCGATGTTACTACCACCGAGCAGCTTCCTCAAGTTCTCTAACGGAGGCCTTATTTATAGTCGATTTCTCTCTGTTTGGCGAGATAAAGCGACAGCAGAACTTACGCGAACAGAGGAACCCAAACAGACACTGATTGGTGGAACGGGAGGAGGTTCAGGGGCCCGTGGACCTCAGCCATATCTACAACCGAAACCACCGAATGTAAGATACAATCCACGGATATATACAGGTGGGCTGCTCCCACGGATTGAATGGGATGATGAACCGGTTCGATTGCCAGACTACGAACCGAATGATATGTGGGCACCGCATAGGGCGTATTTTGGACAGAATGATTATATTGGTAAGTTGGTTTGTTATATTTCCAATTATTGAGTTGAATATTGAGACGAATTCAATGAAAATGTTGGTTGGTTAGATGTTTTTGTTTGTCATCTTTACTACGAATCTTTATTCGCGCTAATTATTTTGCAGAGACTTCATTTTTGAGTGTCGCTTCTTCACGAAAATCTGATCTGTGACCGTTAAATTCATTGACTGTTTTAATTCTAGTGGTTCATTATATTTTGGTCAGGCGTTCAATAGTTCTTTAATGTATCATTGAATAATCTATTAATTCACTGGATAGCTTTTAACACGGATTAGTGAATGGTGGCCTTCAAGTTCCTACCGATGTTTCCATATTTGCATTAAACCTTCCAATAGACAGGGCTCCGTTTCCATGTACATGTAAGGTTTTGATTTAAATGGAACATGACGTGTAAAGGATACCGGTTTCAATAGTTTTCTTTTCATTTGGCCGAGTTTAACATTCTGAAGTGAGGGTAATGAAATGTGTTACTGAGCGAGAAATCTTATTCTGATATCGTCTTTTATTGATTGGTGTAATTGAGCTTTAATAAACTTTGTTCTTGATATATTTTTGGTAGGGCTTAGGTAGCTGAAATAGCTATGGATTAGCATGTGCTATCATCTGTGTCCTATGTTAACGTTCTCTTCCAGGCCATAGGTCGCGGTTTTGTTGCTCATCGGCGAGCAACCAGTTAGTGGACTGGCAAACTACATGGATTAAATCGTGCCAATGTTCGCGTTTCTTTCGTGGTGCTACCCTTCTACCCAAGATGAATGAGCTCAGTATTGCTTTTATGAGAAACTTATTTTCCTCCGGTTTTCTTGATCAGTAACAAGGCATTTTTTTAATTTTTTATGATCTCCATTTTAGACATCCTTGGCGACGGTCGGCTAAAACCAGAAGATTTTTACACTGGTCCAACTTGGGCTCTCAATGCAAAACACGAGTTCCAACGTGTATGTCGACTACTCTACGATCCAGCGGTTGTGGCCTGGCTGGAAGAATTCGAACCCACCCGTCTGAAGGACCTCCGAAAACGGCATAAATACCTCTATAGACAAGTGAACATACGAAAGAATGTCAAGTTTGACAAATACCGTGATGCCCCCTAATTTTTTTCGACCAACTCCTTTTGCATTAGAAATAAATCTGTATAGAGACCTGGTTTTTTGATAATAATGGTACTAGATAGTTAATTTATCACGACAGTATGTATTCTTCTATTCAGACAAGCGGATGTATAGCTACAGCTGGTGTAAGAATTTAAACCGGGGAAAAGAGGGAGATGTAGACAATAGGATCTCTACTTCCTTGTTACTCATCCAGGAGAATTGAATGTTTAAACTTTTTTAAGGGAGGTACGCTTAAATCCAGTGTTTGTTTTGAGGATGACATTCTACTGTTTCTTCCCAAGCGTCATCGTCTATTAGAGTACAAATTGTTCGCTGGGAGTACTTGATGCAGCTGAAGAATCATGATCCCGTCTATCGTGCAAAGGCCTACCGTTGGCACTTCACTCTTTGTGTTTGAATTTCCTTGGGGAGACATTAATTAGCATTGGTGATCGCTTAAGCCACCGATGATTGATTTAGTTTAGTTATGGTTGGTAAGGGAATGTGGTTTCTAAAATGTACTGAAGAGACCACGGATATTGTGACCAAACTGACAAGAAGCGGTTGATCATTTCCATATCTGGAGGGCACGTCATTAACAATAAAGACGATGCCTACTATCTAGAAACATGATTGAAATTGGCGTTTTTATAATGAGCATAGAGATAGTTATAATGATCAGTCTAGACAACTGTTAAACAATAGAACAAATATATCGCAATATTTATTACAAAAATATTCCATCTAAGCTAAATATAGTTCAAATAAGCATTCCGTCTAGAAATTCAAATTGAGGTAGCGTTTGGATAACGCCTTCAATATGGCCAATAGCGAGAGTTTTCTTTCCTGATTCACGTGCTACCTGATATGATTCGGAGACGAGCTCTTTAAGAAACAACTCGGTAGCTTTGCCAATAGCAGCGATGGCTTCGGAGTTGACCATGTGAACAGAAGGAATAAGCTTGACAATAGATTTTATTCGACTGGTTGGAAGTTTGAATAGTTTAGAGGGTGCTTCAGTGTGTTCTAATGTATTCACGTTTTCATCTAGGAAAAATATGATTTGAGAATAAAGAAAAACCTGCTTCATTTTCTTCTACAGCTGTCTCAGATTCTTGATCGGAACCAGGAGCAACTTCTAAAAATGGTTTTAGACGAGAGGAAAATATTACAAAATACCTGTTCCGTCATTCTTATCCGTGGTTGCTTCTTTGTCATCAAAGATTTGGTCCTCTTGGGGGAAATAATAAAAAATAAATAAAGTACCTTCACTGTCACTCATTTCTGCAACATCTTCCACTTCGTCCATATCTATGGGAATGTTATCTATATCAACATCAGCTTCCTGTTGCACGGTGGATTTAGGCTCTTCAACTTCTTGAGAAACAACTTCGTTAGGAGTATCGATATCTTTATTACTCATTCTACATAAAAGACTGAATTAAAATAACTATTTAACGAAGAAGGCAGAAAATCAGGAGAAGATATACTGGGTAACTTTTGAGGAATAAAAATACGTAAGGATTTAACACCAGAGTGATAAGAGAACCTGAATACTGAACTGTAGCACCAAAAAACTAGTTTGGTGAAGGACAAAACGGCGTTAAATTACGTAGTATTTCCAAAATTACCATCGGTTGAAGCACTTAAACGCAAATAATAAGGAAATATGTGATCTAAGTTTTTGTAAATAAAAATATTTGATTAATTAAAATAGAAGTAAATACACTTGAAACATGAGAAAATTTTATGCTTTAACTATAATAAAAAACGGTCAATGGTAAGTTCATTGTTCATCAGATTCATAGTTAGTTAGTCGTGTGTTATTTAAGAGGAGATCCTGAATAAAGTCAAATTATAAATTGAAATCATTTATAAAGACGTAGGAGTTGAAAATAGTGGCTTTCAGCAAAATGAAATCATCCGCAGTCAAAGGATGTTTTCTTTACTGCTTTATGTTTAGCCCACTCGTAGATATATGAATGGAAAATATTACAAACTAATTCAATCAAGATATAAGCACAGCCAAAATGTTACATATGGAAATTTCTAATCAATAAATCTCTCCGACTGATGAAAACATTTATTTGAGATTTCCAGTTTGTGTGTCTTTAAGTATTCTCAGAATTCATTACTTCCTCTTCTGGTTAAACGCGTGATTAAAATTAATCAAATTATGTAAAATTTTACAATATTAATTCTAATACTTGAAAAGTACTACATAACAATATTGTGTAAACTTTTGAACATGGGTTTAATCAAATGTTAGAGAAAAAGCAGACAGGCCAAGTTCCTTGATAAAAATTTATAGACCATATTTTTAAATACAAAATTTATTGGATTCCTATTGTGAAAATAAGACCTATTAATTATTATGAATATTTCCATATTATTTATCGGAAATTCGGCAAAATATTATGCTTTGGATTTTCAAAACCTTCAGCCATATTAAGTAAAAGTAACATAAACAATTTTGGATGAACTAAGCAGTTAACCATTTTTTATTCTGTCTCTAAAATCTTTATTAAATTTGGTAATGATAGAATTTTACAAATCAACGAACCAAAGTTTAAATAATTTTTCAAAGATTAAATAATAGCTATAAATCCCACTATATTTCTGTTCTAACCAAAAACAATTCTTTGAATTAGACAGGTGCAAGAGCAATTAGGACCAAACAAACTTTCGACTGAATTGAACCATTACAATCTCCGCATAAGTCAATCACCGAAATGTATTTTCATAGAAGTTTCAATTCTAAATGTTCTTTTGAGTCTTCGAGATTTTAGACGTAAAAAATTGATAACTTTTTCACTTTATTAACATGCTTTTAACGGAAATAGAAGACATTATATAAATATATATGGCTGAAATTAAAAGCACCTTAATAAAAAAATTTAAGGCATTTTTTCCTCTGAAAATAGACATAACCCGAAAATTAATAAATTTGATTCTCATCATGTCATATTCTGCTATCGGAAAACCCGAGCTACCGAGCTTCTACTGTTTTTGCAGTCGGTACAAGCCGAAGAGCTAGTCAAATTCGATGCCCCTACAGAAGTTTTCAAAATTGAGGAGACCATCAAAATCCTTACTTTCAAAGATCAATTGTCATGGCAAATAAACCAATGCCTAAGTTTCAGTGGGTGAAATTATGCCTGAGGCTGTTTTAAGGTCAAAAAAATTAGGGATACTAATAAGTGATGCAACAGAGCTGCTAGCGCAATCTCCAACAGAAAATGCTATGAGAGAAATTATAGACCAAATTGAATTGTCCGAAGATAATATAGAAGGGAGTAAGTGAAATGAAATTATAAATTTCTAATAGTTTAGATTTATAACAATTTTTGGACTGAAATATCTTCAGCTATGCTTAGATCGCGTCGATTTTGGAGCTTTCATTCGAATGTTGTCGACGTGTCAATTGTCACCGGATAAAAATTTCGGGTGTTTTTTAAACGCTTTATTAGGGAGTTGAATGTTTATTTTTTGTTTACTAACCCCGATTAATTTTTCATGCACTAACGAAATATTAAAGTGCAATATTTTAGCAGGGAAGGAGGTTAAATTAGTTGAAAAATAAGCTTGGAATTTGATTAATAATCGATCTAATTAATACTTGTGGTAATTATACTTGGTAATTCGAATTTGTGGACATGATAAAGGGGTACGAATTTTTATTTGAGTCCTTTTGCTTTAATGGCAAGTTAATGCATGGGGAAAAATGTTATTGTATCTATGAAAATGCCAAATATTTAATTAATTAAATATAGATACTGGAAGGTTGGTTAAATAGTAATTAGGTAAGTTTCCCGTATAAGCACCAAATAACTACAAATCTATTTTCATTTTAGCTAAATCAGTATAACACTGGCCCGAATATTTCCCTTTTGAGATTTCCTTTAACACCACTATTTTCGCACTAAAAATAGTAACGGGACTTATTTTGCCATCAAAAGTGACAAGGAGATGGATTTAATTTACTGATTACTATCATGATTTCTCAATAATGCCAGCGGTACAACCTATAGATTTACTTCTAATCAATGTTTACACAATTGTCCATCCTATTTTATCATCCTAACGACCTTTATGGACCGGTCGGAAATGGAACCTTTAAGTGTGCGGGCAGCAGTGAACAAAAGGGATTGTCAAAAAATACTGCAACTTTTATGACTTCCTGCTATGCTGTTACTGAGCTTAAGAAATATAATCAGGAGGCAGGAATATTATAAAGCCATTGAAAATCCGCTCTATGCTCCCCACTGCTACCTTCGTAATGCAATTGTCTTACCCGTGAGAAACTAACTGAAAACACGATGTGGAAGGAAGTTTTTTTTTCTGTAGGGTATGAAATACGCGGAGAGATGTCAACAGTCTTCATTGTAATCCCTTTATCTGAGTTCCAATATTAGAAAACCCAATTTTCATTACTTGACCCTTGAATTTAATACTGAGTTGACGTCTGTGATATTCAGAACTTATTGACCAGTTGAGCTAATTGAGTACCTTCTCAAATAAGTATCATCTTCTTGAACATAACAGAGTTTATTCACGTACTGGAATAATTTGAATCATTTGGAATGGGAAGTGACTTTTGGAAAAAAATTTAGAGCAAATGAAGTGCCCTTTATTTCACTCAAACCGATAAAATTTTCCCCGTTTTAAACCAAGAGCATGGTGTATGCCTCAGACAAACCATTTGTTGTTATTAAACTGTATGTTAAAACTATGACTAGCAGGCCAAAAAATGCTGAAACATCAGCATACATAAGAAAAAAGATGCATTCAGTTATTCCTCTGAATCACATTAGAGACTTCAGAATGGAGTTTAAACACACAAATAGGCTTTTCGGTTACTATGGGCATCCAGGTAAGCAATAGGAAACTCTAATTAAGACCCCAATAGATGTACGCTTTGCCGCCACTTGTTCATATCAATAACGTATAAATATCGGAATTGGCTGATGGGAGTAAGTGGTCTAGAGGTTTGCTTTCGAAGACCCCCGGCCCTCAAAAGATACTGTCGCCTGTTCAGAGTTTTCGTTCATATCAGCTGAAAGAAATGCCTGCCTCAGTAATGTTATATAAATATGCTGGTAGATTAGTGACTCTCAGTGTGCTCTTCAATTATGTACCACTGTTGTTTCACCAATTTTATTGTTTAAATGCTTGTGTTCTAACTTGCGCATTGAGCGAATTAAATATTGTTAACTTGGTGATTTAGGGAAAAAAGGGACGATTCCTGGGTGTATAAAGTGTGACTGCAAAGAGTAACCAATTGAGAAATTTGAGGAAAAATATTTGAACAACTAATAACATGATGTCCTCCTCGAATTTAATTATATTAATAATTTAATTTGCAATAAGGATAGTCAGTTTATTTCTCAAAAGGGATTTTCTCCTCAATACTCACAGTTATTTTTGATCCTGTAAGATGCTTCCACATTTGAGAAAAAAAATGCAAATCTGAATTTGCTGAAAAAATATATTTAATTTTTTGAATTTTCGCACCACTTTTTCGTTTAAAAAGAAACTGGATGAAAAGGGTCAGCAAAATGCATATCCTTGTTTCAATTATAAAGTGGACATGCATGAACAAGGAAATAAGTTAAGGAGCTCATGAGTGAAACGAGCGCAGATCGAGATGTCTATTTTGCTTACCATAGATAGCGGCGTACTTAGTACAAACGACCATATAAATAAACGATCAAGTATTTGTTGGGAAAAAGCTGAAAAAACCTCTTCGCATGCATATTAAATCATTTGTCATGCCCAAACGATTATCACCCAATCAATTTTAAAAGGAACACATGTTTGGTCTCAATAATTATTGATTTAAACAACATTTCAAGTGACTAAATTTACCGCCGTGAAAATCGATATCACTCTTGGGCACTTGCCTTAGCGTAGATTTAACAACTGAATGTGGAATAATTTTTTATACAGAATAATTAATTTTTTATTATAAATAACAGAAATTTAAACAAACTAGTTTCAAGAATATTTTGGACCAGAACAATATATCCGATTCTATTTCTATGAAGAAGGGGTGTGCGATAGACTTACCTCCACGTGGTGCACCCTGGGCAAC